TACACACAAAGATTTGTATGCCTTTATGCATTAATTTTAAATGAAATTAATGAATAACGTAAGTTTTGTTAGTGTATTATACTAGGCACAACTCTATAATTCTCACTTGGTTACCTGAAATATTAGGCCATCTGCTTCATGCGAAATCGATGGAATGGTATCCTTTAAAAGCTTCTCAACAGTATAAATAAACAGTTATAACGAAATTGTATGTAGATAAGCTTCATCTTGATAATGGGGTATTTCATCACCCAAAATGTCATCTAAAACTTGGTTTATTCAGAGTTCACATGTCTAGTTAAGGGTTAGGAACTGAAAACACATTACTTGAATTCTTTGGATTACAAATCAAAGTAAAATCTTAACCAACGAAATAGTCTAAAAAACCAATAAGAAAGGCAAGATGAAAGAAGCACATCACTTCACTATCGTAGCATTGCGGAATGTGCCTAATCGATGATTGTAGGAAAAAAAATACGTCGATGTATTGCTTTGTTCCCAGACGAACTCATTGTACAATTGAAAAATTCAGTGAATGAGAAATCCCTTGAGAATTGGGTTGTTCTGATAGTGTTTGTAGTCTATTAGATTAGTCAAATTTTTATTATTCTGAACACATTTTTCACAAATCAAATTTTCAAAACATGGAAACTGGTAAATTGTGGCTTGTATGATAAAAGTTCGTGACATTCTTTTTCATTATTTTTCCTGGATCTTCCTTATGGTTTTATTTATTTTTGTAGATGCGGGATTTTGGATGAACACTAAGATAAAGAAAATCAAAATTTTAGATATAGAGTGTGGAGGCGTTGAAGATTTATTGAACCCCAACCAAAATCATCGAATATGTTGCTTGTTTCTTACTACTTCAATTCTTTATTAAAATATGTTAACGTCACTACCGATTTCAACTTGGACCGAAGAGTAGCCATACAGAAGGACAGAAATATCTGAACCACTGTTTACCTTAAATGATGATGATTAGTATTCTGAACCTTAGTCGGTAAACGATGGTTCAGAATACCAATCATCACTAAATCCCCGACCCTTTCTTCTTCTAACTTTAGGCCGCGGTGGAGAATTCTAATCATCATCAACTTCAGGCGGGGGTCTTCTAACTTCAGGCGGAGGAGGTGTAGGTTCAGAATAACAACAGTCATCATTAAAAGGTCCACGATCCTTTCTTTTTTTTCGTAATCCCTTTCCTGCAATTGATCATCGAAATCATGATTATGTCTGTGACAAGCCAGTATCATATATTATTATTATAAAAACTTTATAAACCCAATAGATTACAACCATGTAAAAGCCCTAATATTTTAAAGTTTCTCAAATTCAGTAACAAGAATTATGCATTAATAAAAGCCAAGCCAAGTTCTCACTAAAGCAAATTCTCACTTACATTGTAAGTTGGTAATCCGGAACGTTCTTGTCTGCATCAAAACGTTCTTGTCTCTTTTAAGATGTTCAACTTCTTCTTCAAACCCAAATTTTCCAACCTCTAAACATGAAGATACTGATACAGCCATTGAACCTTGTCCCTGAGTAACTTTCTGAGACTGTGGAT